GCCATGAAAGGGAGCTTAAATATAGTATGCTTTTATATCGAGATAGGAACATTAGGTTTGGATTTTAGTTTATATAACGTAACCTTGATTTTTATAGAAATAAATTCGGACTGCTGCTCACTTAGCATTATGAGTTATGTGACCGGCTGCGGACATTTCAGACACTTCGTATATTTTATTGTGAGTCTTTTGAGTCTTCGCTCTATATTCGCTCTCTTCAACATACCTCAGACATCATAGAGTAAATCTAAGGTCGTAAACAAACAATACAGTTATTACCTATATATTTTTTAGTTCTTTTAAGTAAAAGGTTTCAATTTGTCTCGAGTATTTTTTACGAAGTTTATATATCTACAGAGATCTACAGACTTCAAGCAATTGGTGACTTTGAACGGAAATATGTAACGTAGAACGAAACCCCAAAAAACACAAATAAATTTACACTACCTCCCCGACGGGCTTATCTGTTAAGGTCGGTTCTGCCACAGAGATATTTGAAGCCATTTTTCAAGTATTCTATCGAGTGTTTTGATTGGCCATTTTATTTCGTCTACGTCATAGGTCAGTTCTGCCATGGAGGTCCGTTTCACCACGGCACACTTGGTCATACTCGGCCCAATATCGTTCTTTTTTACCACTTCGTGTTATTTTCGTTTTCGCGCCACAAAACAAGATGGCGGTTTGTTTGTGAAACATACGTTTTGTGGAAAAAAGTATGTTCATTTCTTAATGGCGGCCGTCGTAAGAATCAAAAATAATAGATTTGTAAGAATTAATTTACAAAATAAGGACGCTAGATATTTTTCTTTTGGAGAAATCGCTAAACCAGGCGTTCTTCATGGATACATTAAAGGTGAGTTTGAAATTTCCAGGTTTCCTGCAACGTTTTGCTTAGATCAAGAAACACGGTTTTAACATTGTTTGTTTTCTTTCTATCGTTATTTGTAAGTTTTATATCTATGTACTTTAAACAGGTGTTGTACAAACTACRTATCCATTGTTTGACCATACTTATTATGGCAAGATGCGTAAAATAATACTTGCAGAAACCAGAGACGATGGTGATGATGATGATGAGTGCCTTGAGTTTTCAATATTCACTCGTGGAACTGTTGCTGAAAAATGTGCGGAAATTAAAGAAGGGGATTTTCTTCTGCTGGAAAACCCGTTTTTCGAACTATCACATCCTCAAAAGCCCAATTTACACATTACTGGAGACAAAAGATGTTCAGATATTTGTATTTGGGATATCAACAATAAAAGCAGATTGCTAGTTGGACATGAGGAAAACGGTCGTGAAAGGAATATTGAGACTAGTGTCAGTACGACAGATCAGGAACATGATTGTACTGATGATATGGATGTATCCATCTCTGATGGTGATGTCCCATTGTCCATGGACCAAGCAAATGCAGCAAATTTGGCAAAATCACCCAGAACTACAAGCAGCGATGATGTTGCAAAACGTCCAAGGCTTCCAAGAGGTAGTGCTATAAAAAAGAATGGTCCAAGTCAGTCTTCAAGGCTTCCAAAAAGTAGTGTTATAAAGAAGACTGCAAAGACTGACTCTTCTAGCGGAACCACTGATGTTGCAAAGTCTCCGAGGCTTACAAGGAGAAGTGCTTTAAAAAAGAATGTTTCAAGTCAGTCTCCAAGGCTTACAAGAAGCACTTCCGCAAGAGGAAATAATACAAGTACTAAAAAGTCATCTCAGGAAAACAAATATTCTTCTGCATCTCAGTCAGAAAGACCTTTGACTAGATCTGCTGCAAGGAAGACAACAGATAGGGATACAGTTTCCTCGCCACCACGAAAAAGGAAAAGAAAGTTTCAACTTGGCCCAAAAGGATCGTCAAGCTCACCTAGCAACTCTCCTGAGCTGAGAAATGTGGTAGCACTTGAAGATCAACCAAGGAAAAGCCCTAGAAAAGAAAATACACCCCAGTTACAAACAAGTAACACTAAAACTGCTAAAAAATCATTACCTCTAAAAACTACTGATGAAATTGGTGGATCAAGTAAAGGTTCACCTAGTCCTTTAGAGCCTCCCAAGGGTATTATTTCAACGGAATCAGGCCGGGAGAATGAAGACAAAGAAGTAGGGGAACTGCAGATGAATAGCCAAGCTTCCACGCCTAGTGGAACCTTTAGCTCAAAAAAGCAGAAGTGTTTTGGTCAGAGTGATTCTAATCCAGGTAAGCTGTGTATTGTCTTTATTTGAGTTTGGATACATTTTCTAATAAACTGGTAGAGTATATTGACTGAGTGAGTATATGTTGCTTGATATTTTTTTTATTACTTAGGAAATGAATGAGATCTGTGTCCTCTTTTCTGGGCAAAACTTGCCAAGTCAATAATGTTTTAGCATGATGGCAGAAAAATTAGTTTTGGACAGTCCTCAATATCTTAGGAAAAACTGATCCTAAAGGCTGGAGTAGACCAAAAGATTCCAAAAAAGTCCATTGACTATTTGATATATTTATGATTTGAGTAAATGTTTTGTAAGTGCTATAAATATTAAAAAGGCCGTAGTTTTGATTTCTTGTTTATTACTGAAATCATTTTTTTCAGGAACACCAAGAAAGAATCTGCAACCCAAATCTGAAAAAGCTGTGAATGCCACTCCAACAAAAACTAACAAAAGCCAAGGAATTGTTGCAGCAGTTTCCCCAGCCAAGGTAAACAAAGATACAAGAAACTCCACTCAACCCAAAACTGCTGAAACTGCTTCAGTGACCTTTGTAGATGATGATAAAGTACCTAAAAAAAGTAGCAGTCATAGTGACGAGCAAGGAAAAGGTGCAAAACATGTGATGGATAAATCTGGAAAACCAATGAAAGATAGGGATGCCGTAGTTGGTCAATCATCTGTTAGCGACCAGTCTACAGTTTCTAATGTAGCAGCTCCTTCAACCACTTCATCTAATGCTCCAGCTATTTCCACTGCATCTTCTGTTGTTCCATCTACTTCCACTACCTTGACAGGTGTACCATCTATTTCCACTAGCTCATCAAGTGCACCAACTACTTCAACCTCTTCAAATGTTCCACCTCAGTCAACCTCTTATACTGTTCCTGCTCCCTACACCAAGATATGTGACGTCAAATTGAACACCATGTGTGACCTTTATGGAGTGGCCAAGTTTTTTAAGCCACCTTGGAAGTCCAGAGGCACAGACATGTGTTCAGTAGTTGTTCTAGCAGATCCATCTTCAGATGAACCACTTGAATGTGTCATGTTTAAAGATGTGATTCTTCTGCCTCAAGTAAGAAGAGTTGGTGATATAGTAAGGCTGCATAGAATGAACATTAAGAAGTATAAAGATAAACTACAGGCTGTGTCTACAAGAGGATTTTCTGCTCTTGTTTTTGATGGCAATCTCAATAGTCCAGTCACAAAAGAAGCAGCAAGGGTCACCACTGGAAGTTTTTCCTTTAATGAAAGTGAGAAAAAAGTTGTCCAGGCCTTAAAAGAATGGCATTTCTCAAGACCTGACCTTTTTGAAGAGGCAAAGTTTCTGACAGTGTCTACAGTTGAACCAGATGTATATTTTGATATAATTTGCCAAGTGAAAGGGATGGCAAAACACACTAACATTGACTGTTTTGTGCTGAGAGTTACAGATGGTACCCAACCCAAGTATGATATCAAGAGTTGTGTAGATGATGACTCTTATGAAGAAGTTCTAGCAGTTGATAGCAATAATCAATCTCCAGTATTTGATGTTTTCTTATATGGAGAACATTCCTCTCTAGTAATGACCCTTGATGTCAAAGCTGGTACAGTTTTAATGCTTCACAATGTGCACTCTATTGCTACCCAAGGCGGTCCTGGAGCTAGTCTTCTAGATGTACTGGAACCAACTCTTGAACTTTGTATACACAGAGGTTCTGAATATGGGCGAGGAATGGCTGTTTTATCTCCTGATAGTGATGATGCTATGCAACTTCTCCAGAAACTAAAGCAGCAAGGTCAAAACTCTCCAACAAAACAGRCATAAACACAATAAAGTATCAAATAAAATGCCTATTACTGTAATTTTCATAAACTTGCGAACTCTGTATCTGCAAGCTGCATGCTGGAAGTTTTTTTGCTGTTTCCAGTCAAAAATATAAAAGGTACCAACTGATTAGGTTTGATTGATGGCAGTGAAAAAGAAAATTTCTGTTATGCAGCTCGCAGACAGAGTTCGCATGTCTATTAACATTTGCAGTAAGTACTGTAAGTTTGAATAAATATGCTATCTAACACATAGTGTTTTTTAATGTACATATGTATGACAATTGTCTTTTTCGAGTTTCATGGTAACTTAATGTTTTCTTACTTTACTGCATTGTGGTTCAGTTATTGATGTAGATTTTTTATCATACCATTGTGCATATTTATAGTATCTTGATGGAAACCTCTTGATGATTATCCTATTAAATCTTTCCAATTTATTTTCCATTTTCCTTATTGCAATTTATAATGTACTCAAGGCTTTTCAATTGTTAGCACCTGGGGGGGGGGGGGGTTGGTCAAAATTGTAGGGGGTTACATTATTTTGAGAAAGTGGTTAAGCTTATCACATATTGAGGGGGGTTGAGAACTATTGGAGGATGATGAAAGGGGTTGTTCCCTCAAATATGGGGGGGGGGGGGGTTGGGGGTTGGCTGCCTCTGGCCCCCAATGCACCAATAAATGAAAGCCTGCTTATAGACTTCTATATTTTGGACATAATGGTTCCCCATTTAACTCAATGTGTCATTACTAACCATCCTTTTTTAATGGTTGTGTATCGTTGAAAAGATGGTTTCCACCCTCCAAGATGGTTTTTACCCTCAGTAAATATAGAATATAGTGGACTAGTGCATGTGAAGGGCACCTCACAGAAGAGCCCTATACAGGGAGTGGTGGTTGTAAAATATATAATATAATACATGAATATGAATAAAACTAAAACAAAGAAAYTTATTTTTAAGAATTAAACATTGGAAATAGGAAAAAATTACCCCCAAGGTAATATAAAGAGGTTTATTAGATTCATTAATTATCATATACTTTATAACTTAGATAGTATGCATGGGACCTCTGATTAGACGAGAACTGTGCTTTATTAGTGAATGGAGCAGGATTGCTGGTGCCATCTGTGTGACTGTGTAGGAAACTTTGCAAAGAATTGTAAGGAAACAGCATTGAGATTTACAGGAAGAGAAAAATTAGGAGAAAAAGGATAAAATAATTATGCAGTCCACTGGGGAAAATTATTTATATATAAAATTCATATCTTATAATTAAAAACTTCTCAATAGTGCTAATTATGCAGTATACCATTTCATGGAGTAGTGTTTGAACTATATCACTTACGAAAAATAAGAAAACTACAGTTAAAATTGAGTATTGCTAACAAATTTTGAGTGATTTCAAAAACACCATGTGTTGGGCTTCCTGTGGTTTGTAGTGGGGCACATTTTTAGCACAATCTGCTTTCTTTTCATCCTTTCTCTTTTAGAAATAAATAAATCATAGAACTTAAAGGTAATGTTCGTTCTATTGATTTTATCTTAAACAATTATGGGAATTTTTCAGTTCGTTTGTGTCCCATCACACCCTCCCCTCCCCCCATGTCCAATCGCGAAGTCTCGTGACACCATTGAACGCGGGCTTACCATAGCATTTGAGTATTTACTCAACTAGATTAGCTTATTTAACATTGCCCATCCAAGATTGCACAGACACAGTTATCATTCCTCGCTGTTTACGTGAATATCTGACTACTTTTTGTTGATTTTTGAGCTCGAAAACAAGCTAAGGTATGATTTGACCTCGCTGCATATTTTAATGTCATTGTTCAGTGATTGGCTCGAGCTCCAAGTTTTTCTTTACTGGCTTCTTTCTTAGGGAAAATCCTTCCCATATATTCATCTCAGGTCTTTGGAGTTTCTTCCGTCTTTTAGTGGCTTCCTACTTTGGTTAATGTCCTAATGGTTTTTTGAGCATTGTTTTCTTTGGCCGTCACTTACCGAGTCCCATACCGTGGAGCCGTACCGTGAATGATCAACATTTCGTTGTCTACAAATAAGGTTACCTGCTTAAATTACAGCGTAAAAAATTGAATTCGTATACCTAAGCGAAGGTTAGAGAACTTATTGTTCTCGTCAAAGATATTCCGAACTAATAATTTAAACATTTTAGCAGTGAATTTGGAGTATTTTTAGCATGGTCCCGTTGAAGCAGTTTTGTAGGTGTGTGGTTGTAGTTTGGTTGGCGTTATTTTGTTCTACATCAAGATCAGCGCCTCTAACTGAATCCATAGTCAAATCCTGGTCAGAAAAAGTAGAGCAGTATCTATTGAAACTTGCCGAAGAAGGCTTAAAGTCGAAGGAATTGCAGGAATACTACGATAGTGCGGTTTATACAGTGGAAAACAAGAAGGGGTCGGAAACAGTCAGTTCCGTCAAATCAAGATTGGGAGACTATTTTGTCAAAAAAGAACAAGCTGCTCGCGTAAGTATTTGTTTCTATCGCTATATTTTTACTTATAGCGATTAGTATTTAAATAATTTTTGGATGGAACTGAATTTTGTCTAGTAGAGAGATGACTTTGTCATATCCTTGTGTACAAGATTACAATGTTGTTGTCGTATGCATGGGTAATTAATCGGTGGGTGGGTAGGTCATTGTTACTAATGTTGAAAAAAAAAAATTTTAGCAGCCCTGGAAATAGCAAAACAGTCACCTTTAAAAATTTTAAAATAATGAAATTTAACATTCGATTTAAAAAAATGGAATGACATTTGATATCTTTTTTGATTTTTGAAGCCAATGAACAATATTATGCATGATTTTTCCCCTTTGACAACCATTATCATGTGCTTCCTGCAAGATTTGATTTTTCCATATTATTTCTGTCAAAATTTATTAATCCCTTTTCTCTAATTCCTAAGATAATTCTTTCTATTGCACCTGGTAGATGTCAAATCAAATTTTTTTTAATGCGATTTCTCAGAATTTTGAACTTTTGAATATCTCAAAGATGGAAACAATCTTCGTAATAAAGAACAGAGGTCTGTAGTTATTGCTTGGCCATTATAGTTTAAAGTGAGTCTTTTCTGTAAATAGAGATTTCTCATTTACTTTAAGAAGAGGAAATTGCCTGTCAAACTTTACCATTTGGTTTACATAGCATATGTAGTGATCGTATTAGCAGTTCTTGCCAAGATAATGTCTCAAATTCCCATTATGCAAACTGGCACAAATTTCCTTTTATACTGTAAATCATTGACATTTTTGGACGTCCAAGTTCCAGGTGGAAATCATCTGCTCCTTGGTGTTTTAATTTGATTTTAACCTCGAATGAAATGCGATCTGTTTAATTTAAATAAAGTGGAATTTTTACATCCTGTCCTGTTCTGAATCATACAACAAATATTAACATCAATCAAAGGACTAAAAAATTAATTACAATTTGACATTTGAATTTTGTATTTTGATTAACAGATCAAAAACATTTTTCCGAAATCCCAAGTGTTTCGATCAGAGTATCAAACACGGAAAACTGTTTTTGATTTTTTTTATAAAATAACAAACGCGCAAAAAGATCGGGAAAAAAAGCAAAGCCAAAGTAAATTCGCCCTTTGTGCCGTCTTATTCAAACTGACCAATGAGCGCACGTGATAGATTAGATGATAGATTAAAATCTGACAGTTGCAATGCTTGCACGCGCTAAGATGACGACAGCGTGTTCTGATACTCTCATCAAACATGGTTTTCGACCAATCGTAGCGCGCGTAGTATCCGAATTATTTTATAAACTCATTTCAAAAATGGTCGATGTACAGTATGGATTTTTTTGTGAAAATATTTTTAATAGCCTTATGATTAAATAATTTATAAAACATGAAAAATTTAAGGTATTATCCATCTGATTTACTTATATAAAACTTTCATAATGTTACAGGGGTATAGCCAGGATTTTCAGAAGGGGGTCCAAAATTTGAAAACAAGCCATTTTGTTTGGGCCCCCCAAAAGCCAAGCTAAAAAAAAAGAACGGCATTGCTTATTACATTTGCCACAAAGGGTGGGGGTGGGGGTGAGGGACAGGGGGCATGGTCCCCTCAGCCCCTGTACTGCCCTTGGGTTAACCTGGCTATTGCTGAAAACCTTCTTCAATTTTGGGAACCATATTTTTTGGTTCTCCATAAAAAATTCATGAAAACAATTGCAAAGCCCAAAAATTCAATGATCCCTTTGATTTGGTAACACACCCTTGACATTGAAAGTATGATAATGTTAGCCTGGTTAGTGATGTTAGCAATGGTGATGACAACCTCCTTGAATTTGGGGCAACGTCCATTTTTTTCATAATATTTTATGAAAACAACTGCAATGCCCAATATTTCTAATATCCTTTTAATCCTCATTTAAAGTACAGATATATACATTAAAGTTCAAAATAATAAGTTCACCCTTTCATATAGCATCATCCCAGCCATCTCTGAAAATGATCAGTTCATCCTCACTATATTCCAATTTTTCTTCCAATTTATTGTTTTTTAAATTCTAGTCTGAAAATTTATTATGAAACATTATATATTCCATTACAGAAAGTTGCAGAGCAAGTTCAGCGTTTGCATGATGAATTTTATACTAATGCAACATTGCAAGAGAAGGCCAAAGTGAAATATTTAAAGGACTTGGGGAAAAAATACTATGCTGATAAGGATATCGTTAAAACACTACCTTATTTGGATTTTAACACGTAAGTGTCTATGATTACTGACAGACCCTCTAGAAACAGATGGGGTGCTTTGCAAAACAACAGATTCCATCTGGAAGATGTTTGTGATCTCACTTAAATAAACCTAGAGATTTTTTCCTGGTTCAATAAAATTGAGACTGTCAGGGGTTTAACTAATGGAGTGTAATTAGTCACTGGTCTTGACAACAGCCAAAATTAGTTTTTTTTCTGGTTCAACATTACTGGTCAAGATGACAAGCTAGGCAAAGCTTCGACCACACAAGTTCCAATTCAAGCTTGACATTGTCCGCGAATTTTCTTTCTCATTGGAATTTGTATTTCCTCAAGAGAATAGTAAGACAATTGGTGCTAATTAACTGAACAAAAGAAAGTATGCAAGGGAGTCTGGTAGTTGAAGTCAAATGATGCCATCATGTAAATGTCCTATTAACATCATTAACATTGTGTGTTTTTCTCTAGGCTATTTAAGCTAAGGGTTAGTAAAGAGCAGAGTGCTGTCAAGATTTCTGATCAAATTGTAAGAAATGAAGCAAAACTCATTGAGACTGTCTTTTGGTCTTCTGCATTGGATGAAATTTTCAAGAAGAACTTAGAAGAAGATCCAGAACTAAGGTACAAGGGTGTAACACAAAAGTCTATCAAAATACTGCTGAATCCTGCTTAACAGGCATCCGGTTTATACATTTACTCTTACATTAATCTGCTAAATACAGACCTGTATGGACACTTTGTTTGATGAACTTTGTTTTCATGGCAACCCTGAGTTTGGGCCTCTAGTACAAGGAATGTGATTTTGGGAGTGTGCTCATGCTTGTGGTTAAAAAGTACTTACATTTTAAAATCATTAAAACGTTTTCATCCTATAGGAGTGACTGTTGGTCCACGTAGCCTACAATTTCTAAGTTCAAGTCATCTTGTCATGCTCAAAGATGAATGGTTTTTGAGAAGAAACATTGCATCCATCCCTAGCAAAAGTTAACGACAATAGTTCAAACAGTTAAAATAAATGTGCAAAATGTTTGCATTAAATAATTAACCACAATCCACTGTAATTTTCTTGGATTCACAGGTGGCAAAACTTTGGTTCAGTAGAAGGTGTGCTACGGCAGTACCCCAGCAGTGAATGGCAGACCAACTTTGCTGGCTTCCACATTGATTATGATCCTCGTATGAGACCTTGGTACATTGGTGCTACATCAGGACCCAAAGATATCGTCATTGTTCTTGACTGTAGTCTGTCAATGAAAGGGAAAAGGCTTACCATGGCTAAAGAAGTTGCTAAAACTGTTCTCAATACCTTAACAAAGCAAGACTTTGTCAATGTTATTTGTGGACATGCTAGTAACTGGGATGAAGTTGGAAAGTAAGTCTGTCAACGGAAAACTGTGGTTAATGTGTTACAACTTCGTTTAGTGGTAACATTTTGTGCATTTTTTAGATATTATGAATATGACACAGAGGTACTAAGTTGTCAAAAAGATCGTCTTGTGCCAGCATCTACTTCACACAAGAAAGACCTGATAGAAAAGATTGATAACCTCAAGGCTGGTGGTACAAGTGAGCTCAAGTAAGTACATGTACATTTATAGTAGGACTGACCAGACCACTAAGCTAGTTAACTCATATTTTTTACAAAAATTACCTTATAATTAATAAATATTTAGATAAATATTTATCATTAATTAAAGCTAAAATTTGGAATAGCTATAAAAAAAAMCACTTGAGGTTCTCAAACAAGCATTCCCATTAGGGCTTTTCGTAGGGATAGGTCTAGAATTTTTAGATTTTTTTTCCCATTTCCAGTATGGTAGCAAACACTCCAAGCAAGGAAGGGAAGGAAGGTTGTGCATTGGCATCTTAGTAGTAAACAGAGACCGTGGATCCAGGGGGTCCATCGGTGCACCAGACTCCCCCCTATCACTCTTAGGGTTTTTTGATGCGATGCATAATATCTCTATATTTATTTCATTTGGGACACTCCCTGACGAATTCCTGCACCCACTCAGAGCTGGTAAATCTCCCAACATGTACCACTGAGTAAATACATAAAACTTCCTCAATAAATCTTTATAATAGTGGTCAGTCATCCCTGGTGACTTACCAAAAACTTTCAAATGGAATATGTTTAGGAAAGCATTCAAGATAGCCTTCAATCTCCTGCAAGGAAGAGCCAAGACTGGATGCCAGAGCATCATTATTTTTGTGACTGATGGATTGGATAACGATGGAGATCCAGTACGCTGTGGAACAGGTTACTATACACGGAGTGGTTATGTCCCTGGTCAGTTGTGTAAATATAACTGGAATGATGTCTGGGATGAAGTGGAAAAACTGAACAAATATGTCATTCCTAAGGTATGTTACCATTGGCCAAAAAAAAGTGCTTTGCCATACACTGTATGATCTTGTGATCATAATATAGTTCACGGATGGCTTTGCTTGATGGACCACCTAAATGATACCTAGTTTTCCCAGCGGAATATGGGATGTCCGACAAACAAACTCAATTTCAGTTTTTTAGTAGTTACAATTTTTTTCTTAATTTACCTTTAGAATACTTTAGAATACTTATATAAATGTTTTTCTTTTAAGTCAGACATTCAGGCAATCAGTGTCTGTTCCATGCTGTATATCAAAAGCACATTTTAGCTTGTCCGACGTAGCAACAGTAACTAGAAAGGGAATTACAATAAAGAATTAAGGATTCAGGAATTCATCCTCTTATTAAAATCAGTAAATTATAGGGGACTTTTTTGTTCCTCTTTTGTGCTTCAAGAATTTGTCTTTTAATTCTTSTTTAAAATCATGATCTGTTGTCAAACGACAAATTCTACACCCCCGCCACTAGGTATTTTACCAACGATAAATAAATATTTCGAAACCTTGGATAAGTGATTTGATTTTCTTCTTTTAGAGTCGTATTTTCTCTTACCTGACAAATGACAATGGTGGTGAGCAATTCCCAGGTAAACTAGCCTGCGACAATAATGGCTACATGAAGAAGCTGGTTGAAACTGAAAACATCATATCCCAGATGCAGGACTATTACAGCTTCTTGGCGTCAAACACCATCAGTATTTTAAACAATGTTACATGGACATCACCTTACCTGGATGCCTCTGGTTTAGGGTTGATGGTGACTGTTGCGATACCTGTTATTAGCAAGTTAACAAACAAGTAAGCTATGAGGATATGAGGGGACAAAGATATTAGAAGGGAGGGGTGGATTAGGGTTGATGGTGACTGTTGCGATACCTGTTATTAGCAAGTTAACAAACAAGTAAGCTATGAGGATATGAAGGGACAAAGATATTAGAAGGGAGGGGTGGTTTAGGGTTGATGGTGAATGTTGCGATACCTGTCAAGTTAACAAACAAGTAAGCTATGAGGATACGAGGGGACAAAGATATTAGAAGGGAGGGGTGGTTTAGGGTTGATGGTGACTGTTGCGATACCTGTCAAGTTAACAAACAAGTAAGTTGTGAAGATTTGAGAGGGAGGTCATAAAATACTACTAGAAGGGAGGGGTGGTTTAGGGTTGACGGCGAATGTTGCAATACCTGTCATTAGCAAGTTAACAAATAAGCTAAGTAAGATATGGGGGTATAAGGGACTGATAAAAATTATTATGAAAAGGGAGGGGGGGTTTCGGGTTAAAGGTGACTGTTGAAATAACGGTTATTAGCAAGTCAACAAACAAGTAAGCTGTGGAGATATGAGAGGGAGGTAATAAAGATATTAGAAGGGAGGGGTGGTTTAGGGTTAATGGTGACTGTTGCGATAACCATTATTAGAAAGTTAATAAACAATGGATAGTTGGGGTGCTAACACCATTGGCTTTATTTAATTCACATGGACAACAAAATACTTTGAGGTCTCTCATAAACTTACATATGACATTTACTATTCCATTTAATCTAAGTTATGAAACATTTTGTAATGAACAATGGCTACCAAAAAAAAGCAATCGTTATTTAGATAAGTCAGGTTACCTGTGCTATGGCTCCACAGGGAGCCCAGCCAAAATGCACCAGATTTTACCCTTGATTTGCAAAACAAAACATTAGTTATTCGTTGACTTATTTTTGTTATTCAGAACTATTGGAGTTGTTGGTATTGATGCTACACTGGAGGAGATTGAGAATGTCTTATTGAATGATCAGTGGGGGTCTGTGTATGCCTTCTTAATCAACAATGAGGGAGAGACAATATTTCATCCACTGCTGCGACCCAGCACTGAGGTATGCATGCTAGATATTTACGAATGAATATTTATGAATATTTATGAATGAATCAACAAACTAACGAACAAATCAATGAATGAACAAATGAATCAATGAATGGACAAATCCATGAATCAATCAATTGACCAATGAATGAATGAATGAATGAATGAGTTGATTAATTAAAACATTAGAATACAATCACTAGATAGTCAATAAATTGACTAGTGCAGAAAGGTATTTTGGACTTGTTAGAATTATCCTCAAGGGAATGACACTGGTCTGAAACGATAAAACATTACATCTCTCCAGGCTGCAAAGACATTAATGAATCATATTTGGCTTCTGTCTAGCTCGTAGATGATCCAATATTTATTCAAATCAGTGACCTTGAACAGAGAAATGGCATACCAAAAGAATTCACTAAAGTCAAAGATGACATGATCAACGGCAAGACTGGATACCTTAAAATAGAAGATGCAATACGCAGTATACCCAAGGGGGACTTCCAGGATGGGGTAGTCCTTGAGAAGACACCATCGACATACTACTATACCTCGATAAGTGATTCAGTCTATGCCTTTGCATTCAACCTAGCAGACTCTGATGAGCAATTTCGGCATCCACTTAGGCCCAATGTCACCTCAGATTTGCCAACAAACTATCATAATAACATTGAAGGATATGATTCTCCTGAGGTTAAGAAGGTATGTGAAAAGTGTGCTGAATTAATTATTAAGATGTAGTTATAATTGAAAAACCATTTTTTACTAAAATTCTTGGGATGTATGTTACAGCATAATAAGCTTCCATATATTAGCCACCATGCATGTTGGTTGACAATAACAAAGCATTCCCCATTAGTGTCTCATGTTACGTCAACCAACATGGTGAGTCATGGTGGCTGTTTCATTGTTGTTTATATGTCAAGAGATTTTGAGTCATGTAATTTTGTATTGTGTAGTTCCTGAAATTATACATAACTCCCGTGGAGGAATTCAGAATTTCCAAGAGGATGGGGGTGGTGGGTTTTGTGGTCTGTGAGAAAGAACAAAATTAAAGAGTTTGTATGGGGGAAAAATGGAATTTCCAGGGGTAGGAGGGGGGTGATAATTTCTGGAACTACACGTTTCAAAAAAAGGTTATACTAATAACACGTCATGATGTATTCACGTTCAGGAGCTTGGAGATCTGTACAGAAACCTTGGTGTGGAGTATAACCTGGCTAAGTACCCAAATATCCACATCACAAAAGATCACACTACCGTCATGCTTGCACCCAAGTGCTTCTGTCATCCTAATGACTATTTGTTCCATTATAACATGACAAGCATCATTGTACAGGGACACAAGCTTATAAATRACATGTCGGCAAATATTGGGTGCCCTAATGGCATGTATAGCACAGCAGTGAGGTTAGTCCATGACAGTCAGTGATAAATATTAATGATTTTTACATATGAAAGTGGTTAAATGGAAATTATTCATGTTGTGGCGAGTAGGAAAGAAAACTAGCTTATGGTTAGCACAAATCCTGCATTCTGAAGATTTCTTTAAAACAAAATTTGATTTTTTTTTTGAACCACATATTTTTTACGGTTTTTCTGGGTTATAAAAGCAATGGTCAATACTTAGTTGTGCGTATAATCAGTTCTGGATGCACTTGGGAGATTGCTTAAGCACTCAAAAAGCTAGAGTTGCACTAGGCATACGCCTTGTGTGACTCTTACACTTCTTTCGTGCTTAGCAACCTTCAGTGTGCATCTAGAACTGGATATATGCAGCAGCAGTAAGGGGGACTCGCGGTCACCATTTGGGATTGCCCGGGAATTACCCGTGTTTACGCACTAGCGTCCCCCGCGGGAATTACCCGTGCGCAGGTATTTTGGTAGCGCGCTGAGCCCCTTACTGCTGCTGTGTTGGGGATTAAAGGTAGCCGAAACGATGGGCAAGGTCGCAAACGGAGGATAAAATATTCCTTAGATATAGATGGACACCATCAAAAGCATTAGTAACAAGACTGTGCGCCGACTGCGAACTCAGGTGCTGGACC